ATGTTCAGTAAACGTTTTCTTTCCTGTCGCTGTGTACTGCCAAGGTACTTGCCCAATATTGCTAACAAAATAATCAGCTAAGGTATCTCGAATTCTCTGCACATTTGCTCGACTTCCAACAGTGTCAATTTCCAATTCAGTGTCTTCAAATCCTACAACATTCAAAGTATCTTCCAACTGAAATCCATCGCGATCACGAACGAAGTTATGCAATACACGGCAGCCTTTAACAATGTCATCTTGAAAATCAACACTCGTCTCCAATGCTCGGGGAAATTTGTTACAGAGTATTACTGGCTAATGTCAATAAAATCCGTGTTCGCAACATGAAGCCTCCCCAAAGACTGACTTGGCAATACGTGGAAGACGTGGAATATAGCGCTCGTGTGGCAACCTGCTTCACGTCCGCGGATTTCGACGGAAGAGCCGCGTCCGCTGTTTTCAGCGCTCGTGTGACATTAGCCTAACAGTCACATAACGTACGTGAAGTAAGTTATGTTTGTGTCGCACTTGTGTCACATCGTATACCTACTTTACAGGCGTAGCAAAAAGCCCTGGGCTTCGCTGATTTACAAATTGAAACGTGCTCGCACCAGTCAGCTGAGTTAACGAGGGGAGGGGAAGACAGCCAAGTGATAGCTCACACTGAAAACCCCAATCCTTCCCTATACACCCCCCTTAGTTAGTCATGCATCCTTCTCCACACCTTCCCCTCCTTCTGTCGGGGATATTCTGCATCGACTCTACCTAGCATATTTATTGTTTGCACCCTATTGCGTATTATGTATTAAAGGTATATTTGTGAGCCGTCAACACAACAACTGATTATGAAACCGATAATAAAATGTTTGATGTTCGGTTTATTTAAATAAACTGTGATAATCTAGGTGCATATTTCAACGGCAGACATTTTACGACAAGCCAACTTTAAAGATCAAGTCAATTAGGAATAGCGGCGCTGGAGGGGGATGACCGGAAGCAATAACTCTATGGGCAATTATACCGCTGCTTTCTCTTTCGAAGGAAAACGCAAGTGACACTTGCCAACATAAACATACACAGTTTATTGATATGAGCCTGTAAAAAACTGTATGTACAGTCTCATCCGTAAAACTTTTGGCTTCTTGTTCGACTTATTCTTCGATCTTGAAGATGGAGGGGATATGTTCTTCCGAAACGTGGGTTGACTGTCAACGGACTACACGGTGTTACATCGCAGATGACAGACTCTTGATACGGAACTTGTTATCGGTCACACTCAGGCCAATGACGGAATTATGCGTTTAACTTTTGTTCATCAGTCACGAAACCGAGAAGCAAGTTTCCGTGTTACAAACAAACTCCGTGGCGCCACAGGAGGATGACGACAGACAGTGTAGCAACTGCACTAGGGTGTTCCCATGCAGAAAACGTTAAGGCCAGCTGGTGACAGGGGGCACTGCTTCTTCACGACAATGCCAGACCCCACACAGCCCGAGGCCCAGGAGAGAATTCGAGAACTGCAGTGGGAATTTCCTGAACGTCTGCCTTACAGTACGGACTTGGCCCCTAGTGACTTCCATCTGTTCGGTCCGGGGGGGGGGGAACTTGGTGGCAAACGTTTCGCTAATGACGAAGTTGGCACGAAAGTGACCGAGACAAGTCAAAAGACTTTTATGCTGCGGGTTTCGACGCACTGGTAAAGCGATGGGCCAAGTGTATCAATGTTGGTGGAGGATATGTTGAGAAAAAAATGTTAGGGTTGTGAGACGCTGGGGGTCCCACATTATCTAGACAATCGGCTCACAGATGACGGTAAGCTGTCAGCCTTAAGTGCCAGCCGCGATTTACTCCCCAGGAAAATTATTTAATTCCTGGTACTCATTTCTGGTAGAGGCTGAGTGAACCCCCCGGCCAATAATGCGGCTGGAACGATTAGGTCAATTGAAAAAGATCCACTGGCCTCATCGGGACTTGAACCCCTCAACCAACTACGTACCGCGTGCCCCCCCTACTCCCTCGTAGTCTAAGAAAAATGCCAATCACTTCACAAACTCAACCCTACACTAAGAACTGACATCCCACTGTTGCGTCCGTGCAGGTCCAAAACCTTCTGTTTTCTAAATGTTTTAAAGCAGAATCTTCCATTACACGGAACGAAGTAGTTTAAGTAATTAGAAGTGTACAATTAGTAGACAAAATACAAAAATTAAGAATGCCCCAAATTTTGATCTCACTCATACAATTAACTGTTCACACGGCTACCAAATTGACACGAGGCCACACTTTGGAATCACACTGAAATTTCATATAACTGGAATGGTTAATAGCTAATCAGTGGCCGCGCGATATAAGGCATGAACTGTCTTCGCCCGCTCAGACACTGGGGTCGTGAGTTCGAATCCTACTCAAGGCATGGATTATTCTGTGCTTATTCTGTATTTGTGTTGTGCTGTATAGGTAGCGGCCTTACGACAGGCTGATGTCCCGCCTGAGGAGTCCTACCGAATGTCTATACGATTAAGGAACTGTAAAACATAGGTCAAGGTTCATCATGGACTGTAGCGCCACGTGGTGGTGGTGGTGGTGGTGGCGGCGGCGGTGGCGGTGGTGGTGGCGGCGGTAGTAGGACGGTAAGTCAATTTCTGCCATCGGTCCAAGTATTTCGCATCTTCAACTTCAGGTAAAAACTGGCTCAACGAAAGTTATCTACATTAAAATCTATAGGATAAAATACTGAATACTGTATAAGCAGTGTTTTCACCTAAGTAATTCAAACCGCCAATGGACATTTTATTTAGGATCCGTGGCCATCTTCCCACGGCGTGTGGTGATAGTTGGCCAGCAAGTGCACAAACACGGCATACACCAGCGCCTACGGCTTCTTCCTCTCGCATCACAGCCTAACGCCAACGTCCAATATCAATTTTAACACTTTATTTATTAATGCGAATTCCGAAGATCTTCATAATCTAAACTGCTTTCATTTAAAAAGCAACAGTTCAAGCACGCTGCTAGCATAGTCAGGAGTTCCTTCCTCACAGAAATAGAAAACTCTGACGTCCAACTACTCTTACAATGCCTTACTTGTTAAGGACACTGCGTGAATTCGTCCTCCCTTTGAGATCTACTGATGACCTGCCGTTAAAATAAGCGAAACTGTTTGTGTGGCTCAATAAACACGGACCCCCACATCTAACCTACAACTTCAATAGCAACAAAATGGAGGAGGCAAAGAACGTACACAAACTTGCAATGACCATAAACCATGCCAAGATGAAGTCCAGCCCATCAATGGAGGTAATATTTACACCAAATTCGCGCAGCTATACAAACAAGTGTGTCCCAAGTTCACATACAGAACACACACAATTCTGAAACAGCTCGCAAACAGCTATGCTCAGATGACCAGATTCAGTAAAAATTCTCAGACACAAAATGTAATTATACAGTACAGATTACGAAATTGAATACTGTGACAGGATCGGAAGCAGACATTACCTATTGCATGATAGTCTTTCGGGATGTGTTCAATACTCGTAAACACAAGCTGCCATTCATAGATCGCAGAGACATTTCGCTCCTGGATGTCTCCAGAGAAAATGTACAGCCTTTACTGATACGTAACCTACAGCACACAGGCCCACCTTTACAGGAGAACCAAATGTTTTACTCATCACAGACTGCGTTATCTTACGTAGGCCTGTGAGAGTATCAGACGTACGCTTTAGTATTTGATGGTCGCCGGCACTGCATCCAAACAGGACCGGTATGAAGTGTGCATACTGCACAGCGCACGCCCCGCCCACCTTAATAACATCTGGTGAAGAGCACATCACTTGAGTCTTCACCCAGATATTCCTAAGCGTGCACTTTTCTAGTCTGTTGTTACTTGCTCGCTCTCTCAGCTACAGATATTCTCCTCAGCACTCTCAACTTCCACTCTTCCTTAGCCTGACATAAAATTACGAGCAAAACTGGTAAAACTGTAATTTTGTACTCTTTACAGTTTAGTTTTTATATATGACACGGAAAGATGAAAGATTCTGAAAAGAATGACGAGTAGCATAATAATAATAATAATAATAATAATAATTCATGTTTATTTACGTGCAAATTTAACAGCACAAAGGTCAATTACAGAGTTAGCGCGAGTACATAGAAATACACAAAAATAACAAAAAAGCAATATACAAAAATGACAGCCTATATAATGGCAATAAATTAATAATTCCAAGAAGAATTAAAGTTAGCGTTAACAGGCGAGAAAAATAAAATAAGCGTATTTCCGGTGGTGAGAAAGGAAAGTACACGTATATACACACATAGAAGGTAATAATAATAATAATAATAACTCAATTTTTACTTATTTGAGTGCTAACACAAAATCCAATATAATAATAATAATAATAATAATAATAATAATAATAATAATAATAATAATATCGCAATATATGGATTTGAACGAAATTTTACAGGATTTCCTTTTTACTCCGATCAGGACTAGTGCTGGATCCGAGGTGACCGCATATGGAGGCTGCTCAAGAAAAAAGGCATTCATGAAATCCAGAAACATCCACCATGTAAATTATCCCACTCAAAACTGCCGCCCTTACATGATCCCCTGCTCGTATGGCAAGGTGTGTATGTGACAAACGGTCAACCACATACTAAACTAGCATTTTGGAACACATCAGAGACATCAGGCCGCAGAACCAGCCATCGGCAGTAGCCAAAGACAAGAGATTTTTCTCTGTTCCATAACGTCCAGGCCGGCTCTAAAGCCCATGCAGCCTTCTATACAATGGGTACCGCGGCAGGGGCGTAAGGGTGACCACTCACCCCCATCTACTGCCGAGGTTAAGAAAGGTGAAGCTATTCCTCAACTTCTTCTCACGTCTTCAAGACGTGGTGGTTAATTAATTGTGAACCGGAATAAATTTGCCTTCATTAAAAGTTGTCAGAGCTATATGCCATGACATACAAGGTCCGTATAAAAAGTATCGGGAAAAGTTCCGGGAAAATGGATTTATTTCAGATATTGCTACAATGCCTCAAAATTCTTCAAAATACATCCCTTGTGCATCGATACACTTTTGCCAACGGCGTTGCCACGACACGAAGGCTCCCTGGCAGGCGGATTCCGGAAGGTCCTTAAGGGTCCGCGTGCAAGCCTCTTTGACGGCACTCAGGGTCCTATGATGGTGCCCTTTGGGGGAAGATTTCACTTTCGGGAACAGGAAAAAGTCTGCTGGTGCCAAGTCGGGACTGTAGGGGGGTTTGGGTACCGTCGCGATGCCGTTTTTTGTCTTTTTTATCTTTTGTGGCCGACAGAGTGTGGAGGATGAGCCCCGTGGTGGACGGCCGTCGACGTCAAGAACCGACGACAACGTGCAACGTGTGCGTGACGTTCTCAATTCAGACCGTCGGTTAAGTGTGCGCATGATTGCAGATCGTGTTGGCATTGATAAGATGACTGTGCACACCATTATCACTGAAGATATAAAATACAAAAGATATAAAAGGCAAAAACGGCATCGCGACGGTACCCCAACCCCCTACAGTCCCGACTTGGCACCAGCAGACTTTTTCCTGTTCTCGAAAGTGAAATCTTCCCCCAAAGGGCACCATCATAGGACCCTGAGTGCCGTCAAAGAGGCTTGCACGCGGACCCTTAAGGACCTTCCGGAATCCGCCTGCCAGGGAGCCTTCGTGTCGTGGCAACGCCGTTGGCAAAAGTGTATCGATGCACAAGGGATGTATTTTGAAGAATTTTGAGGCATTGTAGCAATATCTGAAATAAATCCATTTTCCCGGAACTTTTCCCGATACTTTTTATACGGACCTTGTATGTATTCATGTTCATAAAAGCCAGCCATTGGTCCCTGCCCTGAGCCAAATGAATCTAGTCCACACCCTCCTTGCTATTTATTTAAGATCCATTTTGATATTAAAATTCTATTTACATATAGGTCCTGCAAGCAGTACTGTAGCCGTTCATCATAATTTGGTGGACTATTTTGTATTAAGTTTATATTAAGTTAATATCGCAAAAATACAAACAGAGATATCCAGCAGATAGCCAACTTTCACACCAAGAAGTGACATAGTTCAAGTTTTGCTATGTGGACAGGAAGTAACATCTGGTACATTTCCCGGAATTCTGGCAGTTTCAGCAGAGTCGGAAAGTCTTTGGGAATTTGAGAGCTGACAGTTTGGAGCAGCTATAACTTAGAAGTAGGAGGGCCGGAGCCTCATCCCCTGATCGTAATGCATCAAGTCGCTGTCAACCTCAGCGTTAGGTCAGTAACTGCCAGAATCACACAGCAAAGCATCATGATTGGAAATTCACAAATTTAGGGGAACTCCTAGTTTGAAAACTAAACCAATGGCACATGTTGGAAGAGTGGATTTTTCTTGGAGTCTGGGGTTCGTGGACCTCAGGATTCAGAGAGAGTGCATTCCACCTCAGAGAGTCTTCATTCAACTTTCGGCCAAGTCAGACACAAAATTACAACTACGTCCCTTCAGTAAAAGTATTACAAGTTAAATACAGTTAAGTGTAACCATTAGAGTTTCCGTTCTATTCAGTGAGCTGGAGTGAATTAAATAATTACTAAGTGCAAACGTCTGAAGTGGTGTGACTGTAGTGTAAAACCCCGGGATAAGAACTCATCTCTACCCATTACAGAGTAGAACCCAGCTACTCCCGTCTTTCCCTACATGCGAGACACCTAATGGTAGTACAGGAACGAACTCCCGCCTACCAGCACCAACAGCCACAATTCTCCTCCCTTCCCGCCTAACTCTCGCCATCCACGAGAAGAGGAAGGAGGGCAGTAACTCCAGTGGAGGAGTCCAGACACGAGGTGCAGGTGAGCAGCAGCACCGGAAGGAAGGGATACAGGCAAAGAACTCTCGCCATCCACGAGAAGAGAGAGGAGGGCAGTAACTCCAGTGGAGGCGTCCAGACACGAGGTGCAGGTGAGCCGCAGCACCGGAAGGAAGGGATACAGGCAAAGAACTCTCGCCATCCACGAGAAGAGAGAGGAGGGCAGTAACTCCAGTGGAGGCGTCCAGACACGAGGTGCAGGTGAGCCGCAGCACCGGAAGGAAGGGATACAGGCAAAGAACTCTCGCCATCCACGAGAAGAGGAAGGAGGGCAGTAACTCCAGTGGAGGCGTCCAGACACGAGGTGCAGGTGAGCCGCAGCACCGGAAGGAAGGGATACAGGCAAAGAACTCTCGCCATCCACGAGAAGAGGAAGGAGGGCAGTAACTCCAGTGGAGGCGTCCAGACACGAGGTGCAGGTGAGCCGCAGCACCGGAAGGAAGGGATACAGGCAAAGAACTCTCGCCATCCACGAGAAGAGGAAGGAGGGCAGTAACTCCAGTGGAGGCGTCCAGACACGAGGTGCAGGTGAGCCGCAGCACCGGAAGGAAGGGATACAGGCAAAGAACTCTCGCCATCCACGAGAAGAGGAAGGAGGGCAGTAACTCCAGTGGAGGCGTCCAGACACGAGGTGCAGGTGAGCCGCAGCACCGGAAGGAAGGGATACAGGCAAAGAACTCTCGCCATCCACGAGAAGAGGAAGGAGGGCAGTAACTCCAGTGGAGGCGTCCAGACACGGGGTGCAGGTGAGCCGCAGCACCGGAAGGAAGGGATACAGGCAAAGAACTCTCGCCATCCACGAGAAGAGGAAGGAGGCCAGTAACTCCAGTGGAGGCGTCCAGACACGAGGTGCAGGTGAGCCGCAGCACCGGAAGGAAGGGATACAGGCAAAGAACTCTCGCCATCCACGAGAAGAGGAAGGAGGGCAGTAACTCCAGTGGAGGAGTCCAGACACGAGGTGCAGGTGAGCAGCAGCACCGGAAGGAAGGGATACAGGCAAAGAACTAATAAGTGACGAAAAGTCGGGCAAAAGGCAGTCACGAGTGGAGCACAACGTAAGGGGCCACACAAGGAAGAGGACGGTTACAGTGCAAAGAAGAGCACGTGTGGATTATATTCCAAGGGCATGTAATGCCCAACTTCAGCGAAAACAGGGTGTCAGATGTTATTACTGGAGAGACTCCAGTCTCCTTGGACGCGTGATCAGCTCGTCGCAAGGCCCTACCTGAACACAGGACAACACAAAAACAGAATGAACACATATAACATACCAAACACCTGTGCCTTCGAACCCACGATCCCGGCTTCCGCGTGACCGAAGACAATACATGTCTTAGACCGCTCGGCTACCGTGACCGGCCAGCCCAGTCATTACCAACAGAGTATTTCATGGCTTAAAATTTACATAAATTTGGGGGTGCACATACGCATAAAGATATGTAAACAATTATGTAGACTACAAAGTACAAGCGCAGTCTACTGCAAATTCCGTAATCTCCTCAGGCATATATTTATCAAAATCGTTAGGTATGCTACATTTCATAGCTGCTTCTTGTACTGTTACCAACAAGAATTCGAGAAACTATGTATTCGTTTCTTTCTTCGAAGACTGTTTCAAGCTATAAACGTCAAAAGTACTGGCAAATGTTCGTTTAATAAAATGTCACTGTCACTTGCCAACGAAATGCGATGAGTTGGGCAAATATAAATACCGTATATACGATAACGATATTCATTTCCATTATGTGCCGTGTCCTGAATTTAAATGAGTTCGTTCAGATGGTTGACTCAGTTTACGCTTTGCACTGTTAGAGCATCAATTCCTTCCGACAGAAAGACAACACAACCAAGACAAGAGACATGCCTGAATATAATACACAGTCCTTAGGTCGTTCAAACAGATCTTCTACCAGTTCCATACTTCGCAAAGCGAGCGGGGCGGCGCAATGGCAATGCGTCTTCAGCCCATATCAGAGATACCGGTTTGAATCCCGACTATTCTAAACCCCATTTTCATAAAGGCCAAGAACTCTCTGAAACCATTTGAACCGCTGACACGACGTAAAATAATGAAAGGAGCATAATTCAAATAATTTAAGAGGCCGAGAAGCTGGACAATTCAGAGGTTGAGGAAACCTCACTAGTAAAAACTGTGCAGAGAAATCATAAATTGTAAAACTGTCCTAATGATCCTTAAGAGGAATGCAGATATTTGTGCAAGAACTTGTTATTCACGTAAGATACCTCATACATCGAAATTCAAACCTGCAACGACTTCTGCATTAACCTCGCAGAATCAGTCGCGCCAAAATCAGAACATTTTGCTCTTGAAATATCTCACCTCCCACAGAACACAGCGCGTGACAAATGGGCAGTCTTGAATACAGTATACGTGCATATTGCTGGTCTCATTCTGCACGATTTCAAAGCAGCCATCACAACAGCACTGTAATGCACTTCTAGAACCCATGAAACACAATATTAGCGATATGCAGTCAGAGAACCCGCAGATACTGACACGCCTGCCATGTCAGTGAATATGTTACTTTCAACAACAGCAAGTTATGGTTTTCATTGCAATTCTAAATTACGCTGTAAGTTTCTAGTTCATCAAATGATTCTCCTTCTACCGGTCATTCTAAAATTGGGGTGTATTTGTTGTGGGTTATTTAACTATGCTTTCAGTAGAGAGACTATACAGTGTAACTGAAAGGTGCAGACAAACTTTGGCACGAGTCCCACATATGAAACAAACAAAAAAAAACTCCGCGGTTTTCGTCCGCAAGCGAACTATACCGACAGAGCGACCGCCGTTTGTCGGTGAAGTTAGTGTCAACTTTAGCGGACAGAGGGTGTTGCGTGGCCAGCGCAACGAATCCCCAAGGACGTTAATTTCGGTTTTTCTAGACAGGGGCCGCTACTTTTTCATTCAAGTAGCTCCTCAATTATCCTCACGAGGCTGAGTGGACCCCGTTCCAGACCCACTATTTCTCAGAAGATCTGGTAGCGCTGGGAATCGAACCCGGACCTGTGGATCAGTAGCCAGGAACTCTAACCACCAGACCACAGAAGCGGTCCCACATACCAAAAAAAAAATGTCCATATCAACATGTGTCCGGAAACGTTTAATTTGTAAGTTTTGGTTGAAAGAGTGCATTTATAATAAGTGCTCAAAATGAAAACGCTGTGGCGCTCTTACCTTTCGCTAGAGACGGCATTATCAACGTTCACAACTAACATCAGTGGTCAGAGGAGAATCCTCATTGTGTAATCCATTCTAGACACCCGAAGCAGTTCAGCATTAATGTGTGGGCAGGGACTGTTGCTGACTGGTAGGCCCGTATCTTTTGCCACATCGGCTTACAGACAACCACAACCGAGATTTCCTCACACAATCTGGCAAAGCTACTGGAAGATGTGCCACTGGCAGCAAGAGCACGAATGTGGCACCTGCATGATGATGCTCGGTGATGTGCGAGATGTTCTCAGTAACACTCATCATGACCGACGGATAGGTAAAGGAGGACACACTGCATGGCCTCCACGCTTGCCAGATCTGAATCCTCTAGGGACACCTAAATGCCCTTGTGTATGCAGCTCCTGCTGACAACGAAGAGGCACTTCACCACCGCACTGTGGATGCCTGTCAGACTTTCTGCAACTGCATCGGCATCTGTGAACGGGTGCGGCGGTCCATGATGAGACGTGTCGAGACTTGCATTCTCATGGAGGACATTTTGAGCACTTATTATGAATGTGCTCTTTCAGCTATAACTCACAAATTAAATGTTTCCGGACATATGTTGATAAGCACAGATTTTTCATGTTTTCGTATGTAAAACTCGTGCCTAAAGTTTGTTTGCACCTTTCAGCTACACCCTGCATA